GCCTAATGGGAGTTAAAAAGAATAAGAAGCCTTTAGAAGAAACCGGAAACCCAATCCAAATCCGGAAATACGGGATAAAACTCTACGCCTGTTCAAAAGACCGTGGAGGGGAGTGAACCAGACGAGCAGTTCAGTTCATTCTTTTCGGTATTTTCAAATGAAAGTTTTCGGTTTCGATTCTCCCAAATTATAATCGAAATTCTTAATATATCCGTTTTTACTGTTCGCTTAAAATTATGTCACGTGTTCCTTAACACCCACAAGCCACCATTTTGGCAGCAGTTCCGTTCTCCATCTTGCCGTTTACAGGATTCTAAATCACGGACGCTTGGCTGACAGTTTAAGTGAATAAGCTCTCAGTCTTGTAGTATTTACGTCTTGGCAAAGACACCAATTATCATAGACAAAGCAAACTGATATAGAACTGAAAGAAAAGAAATTGCGAAAGAGAGGATGAAACCTCAAAAACGGACAAGAAAATCATGGGTAGACTGTATAGAGATAAAGAATTAAGATGGTTAAAAAAAGAGTAACGACTGTGAAAAGAAAGTTATCAGGCTGACAGAATGTGAGAAAGAAAGCAAAAGAAAAGAAAAGAAATGGAAGCGCTGAAATGATAAAGTAAAGCAATGCCAATTTCTGCGGGATTTGTACAAGCAGGTCTCGTATTTCCTAAACGACCATAAATATGTCATAGTTCAGATTCCTGCTCATAAAGCCAATTAGGATTCGCGAGGTTTGAATATGCAGAGCGGGGATTTAAATAGGCATCAATCACTGGTCAAAGTGATTTACATCTGACACGGCTGGATGGTGCGGGGAAGCGAATCTCAGACTTTTCATTATTCATTAGCCTTACGTAATCTGTTATCGCAAACAATTTGGCCGCATTCACATTAACCACAAGGCTTAAGGGCTATCGAACTTGTCAGTAACATTGAATATTTTTTGGTATAATTTACAATAGTTTTTCATGTATAAAATATACTGATATATAAACACATTATTCATCGTTCCCTCACATTCTCTATCTATCTTTTCTCTCTATATCTATCTATCTATCTATCTATCTATCTATATATATATATATATATATATATATATATATATATATATATATATATATATATATATATATATATATATATATATATATATATATATATTCCTATCTAACTATATACATAAAGTGATTTTCTGAACCTGGCTTAGATGTGGCACAAGACAGAAAGTATGGGGCACCCAGAATTGTTGCAGGAGACAAGCTTGCTAATCGTTACATGACGCCGAGATACCCAAATGATTTTCTTAGCGTTACTTAAGTATGGAACCAAGCCGAAAATATGGGACACCCAGTGAGGATCGAAGTCATTAAACATTTTAATTGAGCTAGCAAGTTAAGCTTGATAGCCATTATACCTTCTCTCTCTCTCTCTCTCTCTCTCTCTCTCTTTCTCTAAGTATATATATATATATATATATATATATATATATATATATATATATATATATATATATATATATATAAAACATAAAAATGTCTTAAAATAGTTGCCGGTCTTTATCCATTTCATAATGTATGATGACATTTTTTTTACATTTGGATACGCAATGAGCAGATATGGATTTACATGAGAGAATCATGGATGATTGTAGTTTAAAAACAGTAAAATCGACCTTGCTAAACGGACGCTCCTCTGAGGCCCAAATCGGTTAAAGGCACGTCAGGCTATATGACGGTTCCGTATAGGATACAGGTTCGATTCCTGTCGGAGGACGAATCATCTCTATGAAAATTCATGCCCGTAAATGTTGTTTAATACTGTTTATTATAAACAGAGCATTTACTTAAATGTCTATAAAAGGATTATGAACATAAACATGTCTTTTATATATATATATATATATATATATATATATATATATATATATATATATGTGTAATGTAGGCAACATGTATTGCGACCATAGGTAGGTCGATAGTGGACAAAGGATTGTTGGACGGCTGTGGCTCAGGTATAAAGTAAAGCTAAATAGTAACCACACAGCTAGCAACGTGCCTCATACTAACTTCGACCGAGTGGCCCTGAATTGAAATAACTGGATATATAGTTTCAGAAATTTTGAAATCAGTCGTATTGACCAGCTTAGAGAGGAAACAATGGTGAAAGACGTTTATATATTCTATATATATATGAATATCATCATATATCACATAGTACAAATATAAAAATATATTTTCGGATATATATATAAAATCCGATGGAGAATATATATATATATATATATATATATATATATATATATATATATATATATATATATATATATATTGAGACATGTCTCGTTGAATAATTTAGACATGTACTGTCTACATAGTTTCTATAGGATCCTTTCATATTCACGGATAGGATTTTTGGTGTCTTTATTGAAAGACGAACGAAAATGAACGTGTTGATATATATATTTCGTTTATTTTCCGAGTACTTTCGACATCATCAGGGTATTGTTTATTACAGGATAAATGTTGTAACGCTCATTATTATGAAACACAAAAATTGTTGTGAAAATCTGAAAATTAAATTCCTTATATGTAGAGAGAGCGTGACAGCTGAAACCGTTTAAGGCGAGGTAACTAATTTATTATCCGTGAATATGAAATGATCCTATCGAAAATAAGTAGACAGTACATATCTAAATTATTCACCGAAATATACCCCAATGAAAACCTGCTGCCGAAATATCTATATGCATGTGTATGTGTGTGTCTATTTATAAGCATTCATTCAAATAAGTTTGATTAAGAAGAAGCTATGAGATATGTTCGTTTAATTTTTTGATATATTTTTTCAATTTTTCGCATAAGGTGATTTGAAAGTTAAATTTCCACCCCTGAGATCCCGTTTCAAATTTCACAGTAGTCTGACGAAGTACCGAAATGCAAAACTTGTCTCTTTTCGAGCAATCGAGTTTCAAATGTAAGAACAAATTTTCCCTCATTTTCTTTTTCAACAAGAACTGCAGATTTGGTGAACTAATACCAGCGTGTATCCTTCATTGAACACATTATCTGAAGTGAGGCTTTAATCTTTATCTGTCCGCCTAATCATAAACTCCTCTTTAATTTACTGTAGGAAACGTATGAATCAATTTCCTCCCCATAGTTATGGGTTAAATCGTAGAAATCAGTTATGTTTTCTTGGAAAAAAATTGTTAATGCCGTATTCACGTGCAAATAAATGAATCATTCATATAAAACAAAATATGTTTAAATCTAACACAAAAGTGTTGATTAACTCTAAAAACAAAGAAATACATAAATAAATCCCTTTTATATCACATCATTTATAATTCGCTTTTTAAAAGTAAAACAGGAACTTGCATGGTTCTGAAGCTTCGGATTATATGTATTTTGCCATCATAAATATGTAGGTCTATATATATATATCTATTTCAATAGGGCAACTCAAGGCAGTGTAATGGTTAGCAAGCTTGTTGTAGAATAACAATACAATAAACAGCACTTACCGGGGTAAAGGTCCCAGCTAGCGTCCAGCTGGCAGACAAAAATAAAGCAGGTTGTAACTTAATACAAACCCTGCAAACTAACAGATGAATCAAGCTGGTATTTATATAGAAATACCTCGACTCAGGTACCAGCAGCCAATCACAGCCCAAACAATGGACTATCCCATTTTAGCACAATGAGATGCCCCATGGTACCATAGATAGCTCTCTTTCTAAAGGTTGAATTATTATTCACTTAGCTTGCTCCACAACTGAGTGTTTATCGCAACCACGTGATTTTTCAACATGGCGTTGCGAATAGGATTCGAACCTGTGCGGGCAATGCCCATTGGATGTCCCGCTAGAACAATTACGACTGAGTAGTCAGTGCGATCCTCACTGGCTGCCCCTACTTTCGCCCTTGTACCACATCTAAGCTACGCTTTGAAAATCGAGGGTACCTCGAAGCAGTGTAATGTTTAGCAAGCTCGTCTCGCTAGAACAATTACGACTGGGTAGTGTGATCCTCACTGGGTGGCACATACTTTCGTCCTTGCGCTACATCTAAGCTACACTTGGAAAATCGAGCGCACCTCCAAGGCCGTGTAATGGTTAGCAAGCTTGTCAGGCTAGAAAAATTTTAACTGAGTAGTGAGTTCGAACCTCACTGGATGCCCAAGATTTTCGGTCTTGTGCCACATCTAAGTTACGCTTAGAACATCATTCGGGCACCTCGAGGTGGCGTAATGGTTAGCAAAGCTTGTCTCGCTAGAACAATTACGATTGTGTAGTGTGATCCTCACTAGGTGTCCCATACTTTCGTCCTTGCGCTATATCTAAGCTACGCTTGGAAAATCACTATATGTATGGGTTTTTTTAATGCTTTAAGCAATTTCTATTATAAAAGAGTGTCCATAAAGTCTCTTTAAAATTTAAAATATATATATATATATATATATATATATATATATATATATATATTACAAAGCAATTGATGAGATATCTTAATCAGATTTTTTCTATGTTGTTTGTAGTTATCAAAGATTTTAAACACTTAGCATTTGTGCGTTTCAAGTATCCTGTTCATAGAAGAGCTACTATTAAATAAACCCCTAAAATAGGCAATTCTTCAAGAAAATGTGTGCCAAAGCTTATAGAAACAAAACCGGATACGCAGACTGAGCGAAATTAAGAACTAAGCATGGAAGTGATCCACAATCACGTCAATCAATTCGTGCATGGCACAAGAATTTATGGAGACAAGGACAGTTTTAGATAAAGGGAGGAATTGTCGACAAAGAACATCAGAGGAAAACATTTATCGTGTAAATCGAGTACCGTCTTGATCTGCCTTGTACAACTAAGTTTGCCCATATAGAAGTCTGGTAAATTAGTTAAAAATATAATATCTACATGTATATATCTATTTGTAACAAATACCACATATTTGTCCATTTGCTTTTGAAATAGACTTTTTTTAAATTGTAAAAAAG